GCTATAATCGATTCAGAATTTAAATAAAAGTTGTTTTACGTGCTGCTAACAGGACCAACAGCCACATACCCTGTAACTTACATGCAGCACAGTTTCAGGAGTGACATATATCCCGCATCCCTCATATAAATACGGGATTCACTTTCGAAATAGTTGCTTAGCCTATATCCACCGCCTCAATGGCAGGCAAGTATTTCAATTTAGTTTAAAAATTGCTCCTCTTCATAACATATGGATCACGTCCAACATATGTTGTGATTATAAATACCTTTCTCTTGTAATAGCGTGGTGCTTGAAGAGAGATCCCCTCATATGATTGTAAAGCGCGTTGGGTGTACAGTAATACAATGAAAGCGCTATATAAAAAAAAAATCCTCAAAAATGCCTCATGCCAAAAAAAAAGTACAGTACGGACTAGGGGTGTGCGATATTGACAAAAAATTATATCTCGATATTTTCTGGGATCTTATCGATAACGATAATTAGACGATATTTTGCTGAGTGTGTTATTGTGCTGGTACCTTAAGGACTGCCGAAGACAGCTGACTCATAATGTTTTTAATATTCTTCATATTCTGTGTGGTGGTCAGTTCATACTGATAAGTACTGAAATCCAATAAGTTTAAACTGATTTTTGCATTTTATGGGGCATTTTTACCGTTATAAAGCCATTTTTTCTAAAAGTGTCCAAGACTGCTTTTGTGCTCCAGGGTCACATATATCCTTGTTTCCAGGGGAAGAAAACTAAATTAAGTGCATTTTGCTTAAAACAAGTACATTTATCTGCCAGTGGGGTAAGGACAATTCTCTTGTTTTAAGCAAAATGCACTTCATTTAGATTTTTTCCCCCTGGAAACAAGGCTAAATATCTTATGTTGTTTTGATTATCAAGTGAATGCATCTTAATTTAATAATTTTTAGATTTGTGACTAGAAACAAGACAAAAATACTACGCAAGATAAGCCTTTTTTTGCAGTGTACATGCTCATTTGTAAATAATACAAATATTTTTATCACATTACATGTCCATAACTGTAATTTTTCACAAAATAAATTAACATCTTGTTGCAACATTTTTACAAAAATCAAGATCGTTACTGCAAAGATGTGCTGGATTTGTATTATTAGAGCTTTCCGACTTGAGTTCAAGTGCGTTTTCTCAGTCGGGAAATTGTTTTTCACGTGCGGTGCCGGCGATGATGCTTCTTACGTCCTTTTCGGAGAACCAGAGGACAAAGATTTCAATCAATCGCTCAGGCATGGCATCGGCGTTGTGATTCGGTTCTAGTACATACCGGTTACATAGGTACCGGTGCCATATTGGTACCGGGTTTCGGTACCCAACCCTACGTTCAATGCCATGACTTTAAGAGGTTTCCAGGCCTTGATTTGAAGGGTGAACTGATGCAGACGTACCTCCTGGAGCGGTCTCTCCTGCGTCTGTCTCTGTGGCGTCTCCTGCTGCTGGATGATGAGGAGCGTCTGCGCAGGCGTCTGCGACTGAGATGATTCCTGCTGCGGCTTCGCTCTGACGACGGGAACCGCCGAGAGTGAGGCATCTGCAGACCACAGACACCAGCACTTAAAACAGCGGCTTTCTATTAGAATATGTTTTAAAATGTCATTTATTCCTGTGATTTCAAAGCTGAACCTTTAGCATTAGTGTACACAAACATCAGGAGACGGCTGCTTAAACTAGTCTTACAAGCTAGTCATCAAACGTTTTCCTTTAAGACAGGTCATACGTCAGTAAGACTGGTCTTTGAGAATGAAAAGTATTATCTAACTGCTAGTTAGTCAGACTAGTGTTGTTATTTTTTCAAAATGTATCAATATATAATCAATTAAAGTAGCAAAGCTACTCGTACATCAGAAATCAGCAGATATTATGTGACAACATTTTATACACATCTTTAAATACAAACAACAAACAAATCAGAGGAAATCAACAGATGTATATTATTTACATTTAGTCATTTAGCAGACGCTTTTTTTAAATTATATAATAAACAAGAAAACAGATAGAATACAAAAAGAATAGAGAAGCTAGTGTTAGTTTTGTTTGTTACGCAGTTAGTAAATGAACAGAGTTTCAGTCTAAAAGGAGCAGGTTTTTTATATATATATATATTTGAGATTTCGTTGATACCTTATACAAAATATATATTTATTTAAAAATATAAAATATATTTATAAATATAAATATTTTTAAAAACGTATTAACATGTTCAAAACCTTAGGTCATTGATATTTCCTATGATTTCAATAACTTAATTGCGTTAATCATAAACCTTAATGAAGTAACGTATAACTCAAATTCATGAAGATTTGAAAATGTGCATTTTTTAAAAAGTCAAAATTCTTAGTTTTTGAGAGAACGTTTTGAGAAAGGGGCGGGACTTAATAAATGTGGCATTATGTATAAAGTATTCAGCAAGAATTAATACAGTAACGTTATACGAAGTTATTCGGACTAGTTCATAACACACAGTCTGTTCATGCAACTAACCCAGGGTGAAATATAACTAGCTAACAGGGCTTTATTAGTCATTCAGACAGCTAAAACAGCGCAGTGACATGAATTAATATCTTCATTTGTGTTCCACAGAAGAAAGTCATCAGGTTTGAACGACACGAGAGTAAATGATGATTAACGCGAGAAACAACACAAGAAAACAAAGAAGAAACGACAGAACAGCAGAGAAAATATCAGACTAGAACAGAAGAAATCATGAAAACACAAGAGCATCGTTTCTGTTTATGAGTCAGCCCCTCTCTGTTTACTTCTGTCTTTATAATATATCATTTAACAATGTATCTGTATTGAAATAAGTGTATGTAAGTCCTGTATAGCGTGTCGTAAGTGAAGTGTTTGTGAGTATAGTTCGTGTATGTTTCTCCTCAGAGTAAGTTAGCGGCTAGCGCATCGAGCTAGCGGCGCTTCATCGCACACAAGCCGCGCAGTCTGAGCCCTAATCTGTCAAACCGACCACATCAGCGATAATAACGACAACATTTACCGCTTTAGCCGCGACGCCGGTGCGTTTGTCCCACAGAAAATCCGTTCTGCCGTTATTTTAGCGCTCCGGAAACTCTCGCGCGCAACTTCCGGTGAAAAGCTCCGACTCACGCGCTCCCGTCATTTCTATGTTATTTCACTTTCTTATCCAATAATAAAGCATGATTAAAATACCTACACTGCGAAAATATATGTTCGAAGTTGTAAATAAAACAAATATTATTAGAGCACTTTTTTTTTTTACACGAAAATACTATTTCAGTTTTTACCTCAAAACCTCACGTTCATTTCGTTTAATTTACTCGCCGTTTTAGTAATTGTTTGTGAGATGTACTAATAATTTCTGCGTGAAAATGATTTATATACCATTTTTTTCAGTGTACCTTATAAATGTCATTTTTATATGTTTGTAACACAAAACCAGAACATTGTGAAACAGTTTATTTAGGTTGAAAATATATAGTTAAGTTAAATATTTAGTTAAATATTACGTTTTTGTTTTCATAATATATGTATGTGTACTGTGCATATTTATTATGTAAATATAAACACACGCACATACAGTATATATTTTGGAAATATTTACATGCATATACATTTATAAACGTAGCATTTTCCAATAATCTCAATACTTTAATGGCATTCTTATGTTTCATAAATCTTTACTGAACTAACATAAAAACATTTGTTTAGTTTAGGAAATGTTGCTTTGTTTTGAGAAGGCTGATTGGTTATCACCGGAGACGCGTCACGGCACACTACAGCGGGGCATGTTGTCACAGTGGGAAGCTGCTAGTTAATATTATATAGGCTATTTTCAGTAAAACAGTAAACAGGTGAAACGTAACAATCAATCAATTCATTGTTGTGGCCAGCAGCGAATTTAATAAATAAAGTATACTGTAATTTATAACACACTAAACTCTCGTGACAACTTGCCCCGAGCTGTCACTGATGTAAAATACCATCAAGAACTGTTGAATCTTTTAGTTCAAATCGTCAAACTTACAGTGATTCTTGTCCTGATGCACGTCAGAGTTTACTGTTAACTTGATTCGAATATTTTAGAACTATAGAGACATAGGATTTTAGTTTTGTAGTTTGTCAGATTGAATGTTTAAAAGCAACAGACGAAATAGAGTACAGTATACTTGAACAAACTGCACTTATGGAACTGTTTCTGTATAAATGTGTTTATATGAAGATGCATGTAGAACTGACACTGTAACACCCGTGAAAGTCTTGTTTAATGAAAAATGTATCAAAATAAAGTGGGTTTATGATTAAAACAAGAACAAATATCTGCTAATGGAGTCAGAAAAATAAATTCCGTAAAATTCCGTTGATTTTTCTGAGCCCAGTTTGTTCTGGTTGTATGCATAAACTCACATTTTTCATAAAACAAGACTTCATGCCTTCAAGTCATTTTGTATGTCCAGTAAATGTGTCTTAATTTAAGAATCTTTAGACGTTTGAAAACCAGACAAAGCACTTTCTTCTGCAGTGCAGACTGAATACTCCATTACTTGTTAGTGGCTCAAATAAACAAAAACAGCAACAACACATGGTACAAATGTCTTTTTTATTCAGAAGACAATAAAATAAGAAAAGAGACCCGATCCATTCACCCTCAGACGATCTGAAGCATTAAAACATCACATATCAAAATTAATTCACACAAACCAAACATCTGGGTTCAGTAAGATTTATAATGCTTAGCAAGGCTGCATCTATTTAATAAAAAATACAATAAAAACAGTAAAAATGTGAAATATTATTACAATTTAGAACAGCTGTTTTCTATGTGAATATCTGTTAAGCTGTAATTTATTTCTGTGATCAAAGCTGTATTTTCAGCATCATTACTCCAGTCTTCAGTGTCACATGATCTTCAGAAATCAGATTTGAAGCTGAATTAAACCACAGATGGGATTTTTTTTTTCTGTTTACACGTGTGCAATGATATCCGATCTTTACTAAACTGATATGATTATTTTAGGGTTGTGACTCACTGAACTAAAGCACATAAGGATTATCATCCTCTGATGATGATGATGATGATGAAGGTGATCAGAGGGATAAATAAAGGCATGTCAGAGAAGCTCTTCTCTTGGCTGTGTTTCAGCTAAAAGCTCGAGTCGCCTCACATTTCATCAGCATGCGGCAGTTTAGCTGCGTCTGCGATTCCTGCAGCCACCGGAGCGCTTAACCCCACAGACAGAGCGTCTGCGTCTGCGTCTGCGTCGCTCGCGGCCGAGCCGTTCCTCTGTTCTCGAACCCAATCCTGCGTCTGCTGCGGCCCGTCTGCGTCTGCGTCTGCGTCTGCAGGTCTGGGTTCTGACTGAGGCTCTGGAGACATCGGATCATCTTCTCCGGGATCCTCCAGAAGCGGAAGAGACTCCGCCTCATTCAAGATGTTTCTGGAAATCACTGCACACAATAAAACCCAGAAACACTGCATACTACAGAAGACAAGACTTAAACCACTGTAATACATTTCACACCAATATCATACGTGTGACCCTGCAGCACAAAAGCAGTGTTAAGTCGCTGGGGTATATTTGTAGCAATAGCCAACAGTATGGGTCAAAATTATACATTTTTCTTTTATGCCAAAAATCATTAGGATATTAAGTAAAGATCATGTTCCATGAAGATATTTTGTAAATGCGTAATACATTTCACACCAATATCATACGTGTGTCCCTGCAGCACAAAAGCAGTGTTAAGTCGCTGGGGTATATTTGTAGCAATAGCCAACAGTATGGGTCAAAATTATACATTTTTCTTTTATGCCAAAAATCATTAGGATATTAAGTAAAGATCATGTTCATAGATATTTTGTAAATTTCCTACCATAAATATATCAAAACTTAACATTTGTGACCCTGGAGCACAAAAGCAGTCTTAAGTCGCTGGGGTATATTTGTAGCAATAGCCAACAATACATTGTATGGGTCAAAATGATTGATTTTTCTTTTATGCCAACAATTATTAGGATATTAGGTAAAGATCATGTTCCATAGGATATTTTGTAAATTTCCTACTGTAAATATATCAAAACTTAATGTTTGATTAGTAATATGCATTGCTAAGAACTTCATTTGAACAACTTTAAAGATGATTTTCTCAATATTTAGATTTTTTTGCACCCTCAGATTCCGGATTTTCAAATAGTTGTATCTCAGCCAAATATTGTCCTATCCTAACAAACTATACATCAATGGAAAGATTATTAATTCAGCAATTTCCAAACATTGACCCTCATGACTGGTTTTGTGCTCCAGGGTCACATATCTGTGTTCAAACCAGTATTACTAGTATTGGCACTGGTTGGGTATTAGGTGGTTATACACAAGTTTAATTCTAAACATTACATTTTTTAAATTTATTTCAACAATTTAGTTTCAAATTTTATTTATTTTCACAGAAGCTTTTAATTTTTTAGCTAGTGTAATTATAAGCTTTTAATTGTATTCCTTGTTTATTTTAACTAGTTAATTCTAAACATTGAATTGCACATGGCAACTGCTTGGTAACGCAAGAAAAGCTTGACACCAAACAGCTGCTGGTAGCCATTGACTTCCACTCATTTCCCCATAATATACTGCAGAGACTCACCGGCGGCCGGAGCGTAAGTGTCCTCCGCTGACGGCGAGCGGCGGCTGAACGGACTGTAACTGGGGAAGATGAGCAGAGCCAGAGAGAAGAGGAGGATCTGTGAGGAGGAGGAAGAGCACACTCGTGAGATCACAGCCGCACACGACAGCACTAATGATCCGAGAGAGAGAGAGAGAGATCAAACCATGATGCACGTGCTCGTCTGCGCAGCTTTAGTGGCCGTCTGCTTGATCAAAGCCTGCAGACTGTGCAGCTGAGCCACAAGAGACCTGAAACACACACACTGCATCAAATCTGCAATATCTGTCTCAATCGAGCATCAATATGAGGAACAGCATCACATCTGCTGAAACAAAGCACATCTGCTGCTTCCAGAAACAGTGTCTGTTTTGCTCTTTCACGACACACTTTCACACTAAATATGATGCATTTTGTAGCATTTTAGTTTTTGAGAATTAGTCTTGTATTCGCTCTTAAACACCAGAAAAACACACAAACACATGATTCCTGTCTGAATCTGAGCCACAGTACAACCATCAGATCAATTCTCGGCCCGTTTTCACATGCATGACAGTATTTAATATCTATTCCTGATTTCAAGGACAGAATTATGACCCAGAGACAGAAGAAAACGCACACTCTTACTGCAGCCAAACAGACAGAAAAAAAAAAAAAAAAAAAAGCTTCTTTTTGCATTAATTGGAGAATTTGAACATTTCCACTCCTTTATAGATGAAATAGATGAATACATTTTAAATTCTACTTTTTGTAATTAAAATGTTAACATTTAAATTGCATTAAAGCTGATTCAGTACATGTACATAATTTGGAAATAAACTGTTGGAGAATTTGAACATTTCCACTCCTTTATAGATGTATAATAAGTTATATTATACATTTTAAATTCTACTTTTTGTAATTAAAATGTTAACATTTAAATTGCATTAAAGCTGATTCAGTACATGTACATAATTTGGAAATAAACTGTATAAGATGGAACATTTTTATTGATATTTTTGAACTTAGCATCATCAGATTAGGTAATATTAGGCCTTTTTTCTTTTGCAAATCATCATAAATGTTGCAGAGCTATATTAGGAGTCCTGGTGTTGTTATGAGACAGTGTTCAGTTCACTCACACATTGTGTTTCTCCAGCTGATCGACGGTTCTCTGCAGCTCTTTACTCTGAGCTGAACACGCCACCACCCTGAAACACACACACACACACTCACAC